AGATCAAAGAATGCATTGCATTGTGTAAATCTGCTGCACAAGACCTCTTTAAAGTGCTTAAAACAAGGATGTTACTTTGCGGACTAAGGTGTGTCTGACCCAAGCCATGGTACTTTCAATCTCCTCACATATTTGTACAAATTGGACATTGAAAAAGGAAGACCAAAGAATTGATGTGTTTGAATGATGGTGCTGAGGAAGAATGTTGAGAGTACCAAGCACTGCCAAAAGAAAAAACATATCTGTCTTGGAAGAAGCACTGCAAGAGTGCTCCTTAGAGGCAAGGATGTGAGGCTTCATCTCACATACTTCAGACATGTAGTCAGGAGGGACCAGTCCCTGGAGAAGGGCATTATGTTTGGCAAAGTAGAGGAGCAGTAAAAAGAGGAAGGCCTTCAACAAGATGGAATGGCACAGGGGCTGCGTCAGTGGGCTCAGACATAAGAACAATTTTCAGGATGGCACAAGCCCGGACAGTATTTGTACCATGCCCTGTTGTACATAAGGTCACCATGAGTCAGAACTGACTCGGCGGTACCTAACACCAGCTCTATAGCTCTCTGGTTTTGCTTGCCTAGAGAACTCGGACTAAGACACCCCATCTGATCTCTTCTAGAACTGGATTCCTCTCCCGAGGAGAATAGATACATGTATTTCCCACCAAAGATAGAATTCGCATAAAAGCTACTACAGCAACTCTTTTTCTTGGTTTCCCTTTTTAAATGATTAGAAGTAAACTGTACATGCTGATCTTCACCTTGATCTTCAAGTAACAATATTTCTTAGAATCTGCTCTTATCAATAAAACATCTCACTTTTCGTGGGTGAAAGGAGATGTCGGACAGTATAAGACATGACAAAATAATAATAATTTATGAGTTATCAAAGGTTCATGAGGGAAGGGATGGCGAGGAGGGAGGGGAAAAAATGAGGATCTGATACCATGGGCTCAAGTAGGGAGCAAATGTTTTGAGAATGATGATGGCAACAAATGTTCAAATGTGCTTGACACAATGGATGGATATATGGATTGTGAGAAGAGTTGTAGGAACCCCCAATAAAATGATTTTAAAAATAAAAATAAATAAGTAAAAGCAAAAGGAAAAAAATCTCAGTTTTCTTTCTTTCAGCGACATACTATTCCATTGTAAAAATAGTTCTCTACCTTTTAAGAGACAAATCTGGTATTTCCGATATTATTATATTATTAAAATCTCCATTATCTACTACAATTGCATTCAGATCATTTGTATGAGTAAGTCTATTAAATAAATACCTTAAAAGAGGAACCATTGTGTCAAGCGGTATATATAATTTTTAGAGATATTTTCCTCACAAATGTAGATCCTTGTAATCGGCTTCCATTCCCATTCTCATCAGCAGTTTATAATAGTGTTTTTTTCCATATCTTCTTGATTAATGAAGAAATACATATTTCCATGAACAAATATTTATAGTAATGTCTATTATAAACTTAGATATACCTAAATTTTTGGTAAGTGCATTAGACAAATGTCTGCTTTCTGGGAAGTCATATTCTAGAAATAGAGGCAAAAAAATAGACTGGACATACACCTTGTTTGTCAAGCTCAAGAAATATGAGAATCATATAGATTGTCATCTCCAAAAGTATGTCCTCTAAAATTCGAGTTCAGTAAGAAGCTCCATAAATAAGCTTGAAAAATACTACGTACTCTCTTGGAAATTCACAAGGGCTAGTTGTCTATTATAAGCTAACAAGAAAAAACCAATTTAACCTTGTCAACCATTGGATTCTTGAATTTATGATGGCACACACTTTAAGAAAATACCAACATATATTACATGTTCAATAGAAATCCAGATACAGCACAAAAGGCCCATGCATTTTTTAATGGCATCGTGTTGTGTGGACACTAGTGTGGACATCAGCCTACTTGCAGTGGGAATCTCAGAATGCAAGCCAGTATTAAGTGAAGTTGGATGGAAAGGAGGAAGATTAACATTCTTCCTGCTAACACAGAAGAGTTCAGACTTATTTAGAGAACCATCGAAAAAACATTGCAGTCATTATTCATATAATAAGAAGACTATGCAATGATTAAGAGAAATTAAATAGAGGTCACTTGAACAATATGAATCCCCAACTCTCTCTTTGGAAGGCTTTTTCACTTAGCTTCCTGAACACTACTCTCGTGTGAATTCTGCTTCACTCCCTGCTCTCCGTCTTCTTTCCTGGTTCTTTCTTAACTCTGAGACCACTACATGTTGTAGACCTCCAGGCTCTGGCCTGCATTTTCCCCCCTACATCGACAATAACATATCTAGTCTCATCAAACTTCAAAACTTTAAATGCTATTGATTTGCTGATGACCCATAAATTAAACTGCCTGCTCTGCAATTATTCACAAGTGTCTAAAGACATCTCTAATTTAACAGAACCAAAACTTAGCTCCTGATTTTCACCTTCACACAAACCACAATGAAATCTAAAATCTTCCCAATGAAAGCCTCGTTCTTCTAATTATTGAAAGTCAAAACTTACAATCAACCTTCTTCTCTCCCTTCCTCTCATACCTCACATCTAATCTAGAAAAAAACTCTCTTGACTCACCTTCAGAAGCTATCCAAAATCTTTACTCAATATATTTTCTGATACTTCTTTGTTCAAGCCATTATAGTATCAGAATTCTTGCCTCTTAATATCTGGCTTGACCATCTAGCTGAGAAGCAATCAAGCCCACATAGAAGAAGCACACCAGCCTGTGTGATCACGAGGTGTCCATGAGATCAGCTATCAGGCATCAAAGACAGAGAACAAAAAATCATATTGATGTGAATGAGGGGGAGAGTAGAGTGGAGAGCCAAAGCCCATCTGTAGAAAGTTGGACATCTCCTCACAGAAGGGGCCCAAGGAAGAGATGAGCCAGTCAGGGTGCAGTATAGCACCTATGAAACATACAACTTTCCTCTAGTTCTTTAATGCTTCTTCTGCCCCCCTACCCACTATCATGACCCCAATTCTACCTTACAAATCCAGCTAGACCAGAGCATGTACACGGGTACTGATAAGAGCTTACAACACAGGAAATCCAGGACAAATAAACCTTTCAGGACCAATAATGAGAGTGGTGATACCAGAAGGGTGGGGGGAAGGGTGGGGGAGAAAGGGTGAACCTATCAGGGATCAGGCTGCAAAGAGCAAAAAATCATATCATTGTGAATGGGGGTGGTGGTGCAGATTGGGGACCTAAGATCCATCTGTAGGCAACTGGGCATTCCCTTACAGAAGGGTTGCGCCAGGGAGATGAGCCAGTCAGGGTGCAGAGTAGCAACAATGAAACATACAATTTCCCTCTAGTTCCTAAATGCTTCCTCCCTGCCCCACCCCCAACTATCATGATCCCAATTCTACCTTACAAATCTGGCTAGAGCAGGGGATGTACATTGGTACAGATAGCAATTGGAAACAGGGAATCTAGGACAGATGATCCCTTCAGGACCAGTGGTGAGCGTGGCGATACTGGGAGGGTGGGGTAGAAAGGGGGAACCGATTACAAGGATCTACATATAACCTCCTCCATGGGGGATGGACAACAGAAAAGTGGGTGAAGGGAGACATGGAACAGTGTAAGATATGATAAAATAATAATAATTTATAAATTATCAAGGGTTCATAAGGGAGGGGATGGGGAGGGAGGGGGAAATGATCTGATGCCAAGGGCTCAAGTAGAAAGAAAATGTTTTGAGAATGATTAGGGAAACACATATACAAATGTGCTTGACACAGTGGATGTATATATGGATTGTGATAAGAGTTGTATGAGCCACCAATAAAATGGTTGTTTTTTTTTTAATCTTCTCTCATAAAGATTTACAGACTTTTTTTTAAAAAGAGAGATAAAGCGGGACTAGGTATGTTTGTCAGAGAACAGGTAACTCAAAAACCTCAAAAACCCTAAACGGGGTGGTTATGAACACAAACAGAGTTCATAGCAGTGTGAAGATCTGCCAGACCTGGTTAAGTCTAATCCTAGAGTGGTCCATTTGAAATGTAAGTCACAGTATATTACTTGGCTCAAAGCCCTCCAGGCCAAGAAGCAACTGATGTTGATGTTGCTGTTGTCGTTGACTTCAGCTCATGGCAGCACCTGCATCATCTTCACAGTCACTGTCAGGCTGGCGTCCATTGCTGTGTATTTTGAGTACCTTCCAAGATAAGAAGCTCATCTTCCAGCTCCACGTCAGACATATTTTGAAGTGATCCATACGGTTGTCATTGCCTGATTTTCAGAAGATTGTCATGTCTTTCTTCCTGTTCTCGCTTAGTCTGGATCCTGCAATGAAACCTTTCCACCACCAGTGGCTGTGTTAGGCTGGTTGACTAGAGAAACAAATATATGTTTAAGAAAGAGCTTTTGTCAAGAAGTAATTCTATATCAAGAAAATACCCCAACCAAGTCAAACTCAAGTCCGTAAGTTCAATACGAGTCCATAAATGCCTCTTCAGACCCACACAGTCACATAAAATGATGCCGAGTGCAGGAAGATCACAGGTCAGTGGATGAAGAGTTGTGGAAACATGACAAGGCTCCGGCACTGCTCAGGAAAGTGAAGGGGGAGAGGCAAGGGAGGTCCCCCGGGTCCTTCTTATGAAAAGGCAGACCTCTAAGGAAGCACCACCAGGCTGTGGCCTGATTGACAGGTGTGACTCTACCCCTAGCCAGGAGTGTCTAGTTGATGTAAAGTATCACAGTGTGCTTGCTAGCATTTGAACTAATGTTGGCATAGCTTCCACCAGCATATAAAAATTGCAAGCCACCCCACTATGACGAGTGACAGAAAAGTGGTGGACAAACTCCGCTGGGAATAAGAAACAAGCACTTGTTACTAAGAGCCCAGCTGACCGTTTCCTCACTGTCCTAGACTGTGACATGGCTTAGTCACTATGGTCTCTCTTACTCTTCTCTTGCTTGTTCCTTCTTCTTCAGGCTCGGAGGCTTCTCGATATGCCTGGACCAGTCAGGGCACTTGCTATTCATTCCACCATAATGCTCTTTCATAAGTCTCAGACCAAAAACTGCCTTCACATTTACCTGTTCTCTGACAAACATACCTAGTCCCGCTTTATCTTCTATAATTTAGTTTTCTATAAGCACTTAGGATATTACCAAATATACTTATAGGTTATACTTACATGTCTGTTGTACTTATATATTTACATATAATACTTATATAGTTAGGTTTCTGATTATAGGCAACTAAAGGCAGTGTAAGAGTGAGAATTTATGCCAACCCAGAGCAGCGCTCAGTGCTCTTGCCTCTTTGTCTTTCACTGGATCTGGACCCTGCGTCTGGTTCCGGTTCTGGTTCTTCAAACTCTTTTTCTGTTGCCTGCTGATCCCAGGATTTAGTTACATCTGCAACCCAGGGCCCTCCTGCTTCTTCCTCCTCCTTCCTGTTCATCAGCTTCTGCAGCCACACAAGTCAGGAGATGCCTCTTGCTTCTATCTAACCTATTGAGTCATCTTGAACTGAACTTACCTACTTCTCACACTGTGTGAGCCATTTCTTGATACAGTCCTTTCTGTAGGCATCCACGTACAACATCACTGACTTCGCTTCCCTAGAGAGACCAACTTGACACAGGCAAGGGTTCCACCACCACCCATTTTATTCAATGTTAATTCCACAACACATTCTATCAGGATTGGTTAAATGAATAAATGAAGGTTTATAATTCTAAGTCTTTTCTATTGTGTGTTTTTGCATGTCTCCACACCTAGTTTATCCCTAGAGAGATTAGGAAGAAGAAGATGAGGTGACCATGACTGAGGTGTGTGAAGGAAGCAAGCGATATGGCAACTTTATAAGTATCATTTCAAGTTTTCAAAATATGTCTCCATTAATTACTTTTACATAGTTGAGTGATTCTTTGTTTAAAATCCTAAAGCATACGGTAAGTATATCTTCTATAGTCCTTATGTTTACATTTAATTCAAGTTGGGAAAATCATCCCCTCTCTGAGGAATTTGGAATTGGGTAATAGAGAGATTACGTCAGTCAGAGAACTCTGAGAAATAGAACTATAGAACATATGGAATTTGAACCCAATTTAGTCTTAGGCCCACCAGTGCCATATGTAAAGTTACGGAGGAATTCATGAATCAGGACAGATAGCTCACGTGAAAGGAGAAACAGGAGCCTGGATGAAGCAGAGGTGTGAAGGGCCCTTGACAGAGACATATGGAAGCCCTTTCTGTTCAGTACCTCAGGCAGAAACTAAGTTCTGGCTCCTGTTCAGACTTTTTCTTTCCAGTAAGCACCCTTTAACTCGAAATCATTTAAGCAGAATTTTATTTTCTATACTACTAGCACCTTGACTTAAATATCCAACATCTTGCTCATAGTTTGGACTAAGACAACATTCCCACTTGTTTTTAAAAATGCAAAATATGATCATTAAAACCCAGTGCTCAATGGCTGACTTTACTGTTTTTATGTTAAAAGTATGAAAAAGTTTCAAAAAGTTGATGGAAAATTCCATATCTTTTCACTTGTCCATGATTTTTTTTTTAAGCTCCAGCATGTGGGAAGGCTAACACTGAATCAGAGTCTTGCTTTTACAAAGATTGGTCTTTTACATGATTTCATTATTTCATTTTAAGATTCTTTGCTATTATATTTATTCTATATTCAGTAAAATACATTCCATTATGCACCCATCTATTACAATTGCTCTTTTTTTAGTCTCATTATCCCAAAATTTTAGCTAAAAGAGTTTGTGTAATTTGCTACTAAGAATAAAGTGCCTAAACTCATTAAACAGTTCCTCTTTTGATAAATGTGAACAGTTGCACTTACTGACATATGCATGTGCACTCTTGAGTGGAAGAGAAACGAGTGTGGCTACAGGTAGCTCTGCAGAAGGCAGCACACATTCTTGTCAGCCGGTTTTACTATCCTTCCACCCATCATTTGGAATTCCCATAGAGCGCATGACACCAGTGTGAGCTTCATGTTGGCATGTCCTTATTAGACAGATCCACTCAATCAGAAAAAGAATTGCTGGCCCTTCAACCTAAGACAACCACCAAAAACTTTGTATCACATTACTCCATATTAACTTTCTTTCATTGCCTATTAAATGACATCATTTTTCTGATGATGTTTTATTTGATTTTTTATGATTATTTGTTTTATTATAATTATTATTATCATTTCTTCCTGGAACTCTGTTGGACTCTACTGGAATTGATAGCCAGGAAATCTTGCTCACTACCACTTTGTTTTGATCGCTACCATTTCCCCCAGCGCTTTATACCACATATGCTATATATAAGCACACAATCTGTATTTTTGGTTGTCACTCTCCCTCCACCCCCATACTAAAATGTAAGCCACATAAGGACATTTTCCTTGTTAAATACGATCTCTCCAGAACTATAAGAGAATCTAGAACATGAAAAATAAACAGATGTTTGTTAAGTAAGTGGCCTAAATGTTAAAAACTGCCCATTTCAAATATATACCCACATATGAATTGACTGATCTTCAGGACTGGGGTACAGACAACACGTTTAATGTCTAGATTGTTAAAAATTCACACAGAGCACAGATCAAAGTATTGCCTAATTATATTTCCAGATTGTGTTAGGTTTAGTTATCCAGAGAAGCGAAAACAGCAACACTTTTATGTGTATATAAAGAAAGGACAATTATATCAAGAAAGGGGCTCACACGACTGTAGAAACAGGTGAGTCTAGTCTGGTTAAAGTCCATGGATCAGATGTTAAGCTGGAGGCTTTTCCTGATGGATGATATTGCCTGGCTTGATGAACCAGGAAGTAGGGAGACAATCCTGGAAGCAGGAAAAGAAGAGGATGGTGAAGGTAGAGGCAGGTGAGTCTAAGGTCAGTAGGTCAGGCTCCTGACTAAAAATTCGAATGAGTTCAAGGTGGGCAGGCATAGTGATGAGCCACTCTGTGGTCAGGAGGCAGAAAGGCAGGCCATTGGTTCAAGTCCAATGACCCAGCGGTCAAGGAGATGGATATAGGATTCAGGTCAGCAAGAAGAGAAAAGCCTTCCCACCGAGTCTACTTAAATAGGAGTAAGCAACATCCTGATGAAACATCCTTCCTGTTGCTCAGGGTTTTTACCTGATGAAGGAAGTAGCACCCCACCTTAATCTTCCCCCAATTGCTTGGCTGCTCACAGCAGATGCCCTTATGAAGTAGGTTTCAATATGTTAGATCACATCATGGGGAGGTCTTCCGCTGTCAAACTATTGAGAATCTTGACCCAGTCAAGTTGGCACAAAAGCTATCTCTCAGATATCTTCAGAAGCTTAGATGTATGCAAGTGCTTTATGACCAGTGACAGGTTCAGTTCCATTGTTTCTATTAATTTGTAAGAGAAAATGTATCTAGATTGATGGATAGATAGATATTCAAAAATTAAATTATAAAAAAAATATTTTGATACAGTTCAACCAAAAAACCACTCAGCTTTGACAAATGTGTGCCACCCTCAGACATAATTGTATACTGACATGGTTCTATACAGTGAAAAACCCCAATCTTAAAAAGCTTGCCTATGCCTATGTTCCCAAACCAAATTATTTAAGTCATACTTCATATCAATCTCAATCGTAAAAAGGTAATATTTTCCTCTGAACCAGAAAGTCACACTGATAACGCAGACACCCACCTCTTCCCCTCTCAGTAATTGTTGATTGATATGAGCAAAACATGCAGACCAAAACTGTCGAATCTGGAGACCTTCACCACTACAGTCCCCTCCTCTCCCCCTACCCACAGCCTAGCTAGGAGCGTCTGTAAGATCTTCCTTACTCAGATCATGTTTGGAAGTCTCTTCTGATTAACCTCATTCAGTGAAACATCCAACAGTCAGTCAACAAGCAGCTATTGAGTGCTTGTTACAGAGCAGACACTCTTTAGATACTGGAGATTTATCAGTGAACAAGACATCTGATCTTCATGGAGTTTACCTTCTGAGTAAATCACATTCACTTTAAAGTCAGATATAGATATATATGTGTGTGCATATATGTATAAATATGCACATATTCATATGTGTATATTTGTTTATATGTGCATATATGTGCAAATGCAACAAAGAAACAGATGAGCTTTGGGCCTCTACTGAAATCTTACCTATGTACAGGAATGATTTGTCTTAATAATGTGACACTGTATGATACCTACCTCTCCGATATGATTGCTGAAGACAAACTGGGTACATAAGCAAATGAGGGGAAGAAATCTGATGGTGCCCAGCTGCTAAAAATATAGTGTTTGGGGTCTTAAAAGCTAGTAGTCAAACAAGTGGCCATCTATCAGGGAAGCAAGAAAGCCCACTTGAAAGAAGCACACCAGGATGTGTGATCATGAGATGTCAATGGGAAGAGGTATCACAATTTCAAAAAACACATCCAAACTCATATGAAGGGGACAATTTCCAAAAACACATACCCAAATTCATATGGATGTAGTGGAGACCCAAAGTCCACCAGCAAGAAAATTGGATAATCCCTCTTAATAGGGCCTCATGGAACGAAGGATAAATCCAGGATGTGGTGTGGAACTGATGAACCATTAACTATCCTCTAGTTCGTTAAGATTTCCTCCCTTACTATTGTGGTTCCTATGTGACATACCTCATTGTTCACGTAAGGCTTGTGTATGTTCATTTGTTCATTTAAGGTCACTCGATACACGGTCGTCAAGTTAGATGACCCCTCAGAGACACTGACAGGAGTCAGGGTTCCCGGAGGGTAAAGGAAGTGTGGGGTGGGGGGTCGGGAAAGAGGTTGATAGCATTGACGATCTCATAGTCCCACCCAATGGGATTTAATACAAAGCTGTATGGGAAGGGAATGAGTAAGATGTCAATAAAAATATTATTCAAGAATAAATAAATAAAGTCAGATATAGAGAATATGAGAAGTAAGTGTCTGATAGACTCATAGATGCCTCATTCCACACAATGATGGAGACATAAACAGAGAAACCCCGAACCAAATCTATTGCTGCTGAGTGAATATCAACTCATGGTACCAACTCCCAGGACACTCAGAATGATACCGTCAAAG